TGAATACATAAGGGACTTCGCGTTTAGCCTGTCGGTCATAGCTTCTGACTCAATGAGTGTTCTGAGCTGTCTCATGTCCTCTGACCCTCGGGGCTCTCACCCGAGTTGTGTATAAAATAAAATCGCTCACTTCTGAACTTGCGTCGCAGGGAATCAACGTCAACTTCCTGTGGGTCCCTGCTCACAAGGGTATCAAGGGTAATGAGAGTGCAGATTTTTATGCCAAGAAAGCGTTGAGTCTACCTGAACCCGACTCTTCTTTTAAATGTCCTTTCAGCTCTCTGTTTCCTGGTTTTAGGAAGGAATTGATGAAAGAGTCGAGGGAGTTATTGCTCAGGGAAGCCCTGACCAAGGGGGATAGGTACTTCTCTTGGAAGGATCAGGTTCTTGATAAACCTTGGTATGAAAAGTTTAAAAGACCACTCCCTAGGTGCCTAGTCTCCTTTATCTCACGCATTCGTACTTTTCATACGTGTGCTAGGGCACACCTTGCGGATAAGTCAATCGTTGAAACAGCCAATTGCGAATGTGGATACATTCATCAAAACATAGATCATATTTTTTTCCATTGTCCTATTCATAAAGACGCTTCTGACTTACTTATACTTGACTTATTCCACAACGGCTTCAGCCCACCGTATAGTGTGGCTGAAGTTGCCTTTTCTAGTAATTTACAAGCTATGCATGCACTGTATGCTTTCGTCGTCAAGGAGCAGATATCCATCTAAGCTTACGTTCATCGCACAGACTGAAATCCCCCTCTACCCATTTCTCCTACAATCCCCCTAACTCAGCTCGACCGTCTGATTGGAGCTGTGCTCCGAACCTCTCATACGGGAATTAAATCTCCCCACCCGCAGCATGTGTTAATACCTTAAAACCAACTGTGAAAACTACTCTATCGTAATACTCCGTGATCACGTGTGGAAACCACGGTTTTAATCCTAACTTCAATGAAGACTTAGAATAGCGTATGGACTAGCTGTAAGGGTCCACTGAGCCATAAGAGCACCAGTAACCAGTAACCAGATTAATTCGGGCCTCAGTGAAATACGTATAGTGCACGAAGCATCTCTGATCTAGGGATGAGCATATGATATCGATATATCGACAATATCGATATAATTCTTTTGATATTCGATATTTTAGTATCGATATTCTGTTATTGATAATATCAAAAAGATATCGATAATTTTATTTGATATTGAATATCGCATTGTTTGATCGGAATTATTGAATATATATATATATAGCTCCCACTTGAAGCTTGGAGCTCCTGACTATCGCAAACAGATTATATTCACAATATCCAAGCGCATTTGATTAACTTGCCAAATGTAATCAATACGATTAGATATTATGAACACCGTTTAATTTTGTGATTATTAGATTTGTTCTCTTTTCATGCACTAGCTGCACTAGTTCAGTCTTCCATCTTTTTCCTTCTAATATGTGTAAAAAAAGATAGATTAAACAAGTGCAGCCAGTGTATCAAAAAAGAACAAATCTATTGTGAGGGCCATTACGGCCATCACACACAACATTACTTAGGCCTGTTCTACAATACAGTCGTAAGCTGTAAGTCGTAAGAAATTGACCAATCACAGACAAATTGCAGAAGAATAATCGATTGTGAGGCCTTAAGATTGTAAGACGTAGCCGTAAAAAAATTGACCAATCAGAATGTATCCTATATGCCCACCACTTTTAGATGTAAATGTCTGATTGGTTAATTTCCTTACGGCTACGTCTTACGATCTTAAGTAATTTTGTGTGTGATGGCCTTCACACGTAAAAAAATTTTAGCCGTAACCGTAAGGTAGTAAGCAATTTAACCAATTACAAACCAGTATTATCTTACATTAGTTGGAATGCTGGCCAGCGATTGGTCAATTTGCTTACGATCTTGCGACTACGTCTAAATTTTTGCTACGTGCAAAGGCTATGAACATCAAATGGAACGTACTCTGCAAAGGTGGAACTATAAAGAGCCGTCTACAATGGAAAGTTGTAGGCCGTAATAGTAAGAAATTGACCAATCACAGACAAAGTACAGAAGAATAATCGATTGTGATTTGTCAATTTCTTACTGTTACGGCCTACAACTCTCCATTGTAGACGACCCTTAATTGAAAATAAGGCTTACTCTTATCTGTCCAATTATAACGCACAAAACTGTATTGTAGAACAGGCTTTCAGTTATTACTGGCAGTATAGATTCTATTTTGAAGTTATTATTTATTTTTTATGTTAATATAATTTTTTTATAGCTAATAATATCACAACTTAACTTAAAATTATGTTATATATATATATTTGTAAAACACATCCAGCGATCGATTCTTACCACCGTGGAAATTTATTACTAGTTTTAAACCATATTAAATATCTTAATTCGTTTATGAAGTATTAGTTATTATTTTATTAGTTTTATTTTATTTTTAGACAGCAATTTTATATCGTTTATTATGATAGTTGAATTAATTATTTAGATGTTTAGTTACTGCTGTAACATTTTATTTTTCTTTTAATAATAACTTTGTAATACCAGAGAGAAACCTGAGAGCGGCCATCCTATAGTAATTTTTTACGACGGTTTCAGCCGCTGGTTTTAGCCGTATTTCCACAAAAGTGGAACTCAAAGGCCGTTCTACATTAAACGCAAGTCGCAGGTCTCGTGGAACTGATCAATCACGTTGGTCGATTGGCTGATTTGACTCTGCAATTGGTCAATTCCACGAGATCTGCGACTTTCGTTTAATGTAGAACGGCCTTTGAGTTCCACTTTTGTGGAAATACGGCTAAAACCAGCNGCTGAAACCGTCGTAAAAAATTACATTAGGATGGCCGCTCTCAGGTTTCTCTCTGGTAATACTAAATTGTAAATTATATACAATTAAGTTAAATATAGTAACTTATATACAATTAATTTATATACAATTAATAACTTATATACAATTTATTATTATTATGTATTATTTATGCGATTTTTTCGTTCCGATATTATACTTTCGATATTTTTGTTCCGATATATATCGACTATCGATAATTGCTTTTGATACAAAAATATATATAGTATTTGGTAAGGTCTGTTTGACCGCACCCATTATATGATACAAAAATCGATATTTTTCTTTCGATGCTCATCCCTACTCTGATCACTTTCGTTTCCGAGATATTTTAGCGTATCTGGGGCTGTGTTCAGTTAAGCAAGATGGAACGAACTAATGGAGGAAATGCAGGAAATACAGGAATTGGAACTAATGAATTCCTATATTTCCTGCATTTCCTCCATTAGTTCGTTCCATCTTGCTTAACTGAACACAGCCTGGAGTTTTTGAAGACCTTGTATATATTTAATCGTTGTTAGGTTTTTAAATCTTGTTTGATAATAAATACAATGCAAAGTGCGCAAATTATCACTTACAAATTAGGAAGAAAATAATACATTAATTGTTGCCGGAAATCGTATTTTGTATTTCAGATTTGAAAATCTGCCGTAATTTCGTTCTTCGTCGCTTCGAGTCGTCATCTTTAATAACCAGACTTCCTAGATTTTTGCACTTTCTTTTCAGCGTCTCCATTTGGGCGGTTCGAATTCTGTATTTCTTACCAAGTTCGACCAGCTTTGTCATAATCGGTTTTTCCATTTGCAAATTCTATTTTTCCTGCGACAAATCGCGCACTTTGTCTTCCCCGCTTGTTGTAAACATTCACTTTCCTGTTAAATCCTAGTAGATATGTATGTTATTCTTCTTTTTATTTATTTTGCTTATTTTTATTTTATAAAAGTATAAAACAGAAAACTTACAAAATTAAACAACAATTGCAGTCATGAAATTATACTTATATATATATATATATTGTATTTGTTTCAGTATTATGTTTTTATTCTTCGATTTACATACACGTTGGAATTTCACCATTATTGCTATACTTATACGTATACAATCTTGCAAGAATTTATTCAAGCTTTGGGAGAAATATAATATGCTTGAGGTCTTCCTATATGAAAGTTGTAAATGTGAATATTTATGCGGAAACAACATATAACAAAATACAATATGAACAATAATATAGTAACGACAACGTATATATTATCAGTTATATTGTTGTGTCATGTATGTGCGATTTATTTACTCAGTTAATTAATGATTGGTTATGCCAAAAGTAACATACATAATTATAAATGTTTGCAAAAATCATACAAATACTTCAACTTTTGAAGATGGCACGTTTTCAGGATTATGAAAATTATTTGTCTTATTAACCATTCTTGTGTTAAATACTCAACAAATGTTCATTCTACTTTTGCAAAGAATACAGTAATCTCAAATTTATCATTGCACGCATTGCGCCCGTTTTCTTTATTCTAAGCCGAGATTAAACAATTCTATTCAGGTGTATTTTGATGTGTTGACGAATGTCAAAAATATATTTTGAATAGAAACTTGCAAATCTGCGTTCGTCCATTTCACGTATAGTCTTAACAATTTTTTTATTGACCGATTCTAAAACGCAAATAGAAAGAAAAATTTTAAACATTTAGAGAAAAATCTAATATTGACTAACACTGTCAAAAACAATTTGTCTTTCTTTAAGAAAATATCAGCAAATACAGGAGAAAAATAAAATCTACAAGAGAAACCTGACATGAAAATATTCATCAAACAATAAGCAGCTGAATATGAGTAAGAAATTAATGATAAAGTAATATGAACCTTTTCTAGAAGTTAAAGAAAAAGCTGATGTGTTTTCTCTATTATCATATTTATATATTTCTCTATTATATTACAAAACCTTGCTTCGCATCTATATTATATATTAGATCGATAAAATGTTAATATATCTCGGTCGCAAGCATCAAAAATTTAGTCTATTCATTTAGCGCTTTTAAGTTTTACAAAACACATATCTAGATAAAACTTAGGTAATTTTTAGATGACTTATCAAGATAGTAATGGAAAGAGTTTGTCATATAATTGAAAATGTTGATAAACTTATGTATTTTGTATATTTATTTATAGTCTATTAGAGTTTAAAATACCATATACGTAAAAGTAGAAAATCAAAGTACAATTAAGTTTTAAAATTACTATTTTTAGAAGTAAATGTTCATAATTCTTGCACAATATAAGTTCTTTTAGTACTTAATTATTTTATCAGTTTTATTAATTGTTATTTTTTCCTTTTTTCTGTTGTGATTTCTTGGTTTGCTTCAATTCTACCCGGGGTGTTTTATTATCCTTCGGTTGTTTCCCACTTTTAGGATCATCAGTCCTTTTTGTAGGAATTGGTTTTCTGGGAACATATTGTTGTACACTTATCATTTTCCCTTTGAACTTCGTCTGATTCAACGATAATCCTTTCTGTTTAAAATATAAAATTTTTGTTGTAGCAAAATTGTTTAGTAATGATATCATAATTAAAATGTACAAAATATCTCTTACCTCATATTCTGTTTTATTTGCCAGCTCTATAATCGCAAAATTTTTATTCTTAGTGACAGAGATTATTTTCGAGACTGTTTTCAAAAAATGCTGCTTAATATCATTTTCCATTGCACTGAAAATTTATAAATATTTTTTTTCATTAAAGTTTGTCTCTACAAATGATTAAATAATAGTAAATTTATAAAAACTAAGTTGCACTTACTCATTTGGCAAATTCTTCACAAAAAGAGAATACTGATTCTTTTTAAGAGAATCTTCTTTCTTTTTAGGAGATTGCATGACTGCCTTTATCTCTTTGCTTTCATCATCTGTATCTTCGAAGACTTCGTCTTCTTCATCGTTCTCTTCGTCACTTATTTCATCATCACTTTCATCTTCACTATCATCAAGCAAGCTCATTGTAAGTTCATCTTCAGATTCTTCACCTTCCTCTTCTTCATCTACTTCTCCAAATTCTTCATCTTCTTCTGAATCCTCTCCTTCTTCGTCTTCGTCTTCGTCTTCGTCTTCCCCTTCTTCTTCCTCTTCTACCAAATCACTCAGTCCTGCATCATTATCTGAATCATTATAATAATTATCAACATCAACATCATCATCATCATCATCATCATCATCATCATCATCATCATCATCATCATCTTCTTCTTCTTCTTCTTCTTCTTCTTTTTCTTCTTCAGCTTTGTGCTTAGTTTCTATAAAAGGTTTTGCTTTATTCTTATTAACTTTTTGTTTATTTAACTGCACATTTTTACTTGTTTGTTTATTGGTTTGAATATTCTTTTTTTCTGATACAGATTTCTCTGATTCCTTTCCTTCTGTTTTCTTAACCAATAACTTCTTATAGAAAGACAATTTTTTCTTAGCAGTTTTTGATAAATTTTCTCTTCCCTCAATTTCTCTTATTCTTTGTTCTAAATGCTCTATAGTATATTCTTTTTTAGGCGATTTGTTCTGGCTAAGAGATTGTTGTTGTTGCTGCTGCTGCTGTTTTTCTTTAGGTAATGTAGTTTTCTTGAAGTTATCTATCTTCTTTTCCTTTGTTTTAAGAGATATTTCTTTAGGTTGAGCAGTAATTACTTTTTCTTTTAAGTGTGGTGGCATTCTATTGTCATTTTGCTTCGTATTTTTATGCTGTTTTTGTTTGTCTGCTATCTTGAAAGGTTTTGCTTTATTTTCTACTTTAAAATCTCCATTTTGCGTAGAAATAGCAAGTTTTGGCTTTTTGAAATCTTTCTTGAATCCAGAAACATTTTGTTGCTTCTGCCCTAGTCTTGCAGATTGAGTCTCACCGAACGGTCGTTTCTTGCCTTTTTTGTTCTCTACTTTATTCATTTTAGCAAAAGCAGACATTTCAAGGTATGTTACAAGAGAAATATAGTAGCACGTGTGCGACACGCAAATCCTGAAAATATCAGTAAAATTATTACAATTTAAACTTTTATTGTTTAAACATACTTCAAGCCTATATCATAAAATCTGAAAAGCATGTGATCGCGCTAAATATTTTAGACTATTTATCGCGCCGAAATTTTTTCTCCAAGCTCGGTATGTGACATGAAATTATCTATTAATTTTACATAAAATAAGTATATAAAATATCATAAATGACATATGTTCAATCTAGTCATTAAGAATTCAACACATTTGCACTAATGTTAAGAGAATTATGTAGTAAGAGAAGCTTTACCTCAGGTTATGTTTCTCAGCAACGTGGGTAAGAAATAACCGTCTAATCTCCAAGATTGTAAAGACGGAAATGAACTACACTGAGGTGAGGGAAATGGATGCCTGGAAGCAGGGATGCCAGATTCCGGCCGCTTGGTAGCATGCGGTAGCATGGAGGGGATGCGCACACAGCTTCGAGCCGTGACATGAAGCTGTGTGCGCATCCCCTCCATGCTACTGCATGCTACCAAGCGGCCGGAATCTGGCATCCCTGCCTGGAAGCCTGGATAGAAATGGCGGTTCAACGGTTATTCGAAAACTCTCGAATTCTCAGGGCGCTCGCAGACAGAACGCAGCAATACATTATATACAACGTGTTAGCCACTCAGCATTTACTCTGGCCGTTTTCCTTTTAGGAGACACAGTCGACACAAGTCGACACAAGAGTCATTCTGTCTTTGTTTCTCACTGAATACTGAACGAAGACAGAATGACTTTTGTGTCGACTTGTGTCGACTGTGTCTCCTAAAAGGAAAACGGCCTCTTACAGGAAAGCAACATATTTTCCATAAAAGCAAATATGCTGATTGGCTACCGCGTTCTACATAAGACGCAAACGCAGTTCGCAGTGCGACCGACGGCGAATAGAGAACAGGTGCAGCTGCTACGGGACATCCGAGAGTTGCAACAACGACTGCATTCGGGGAGACGCTATCAGCGGGTGCGTTCGGGGAGCGCGCTATCAGCGCTATTGCATCATTCTATCTTTATTGCTCAGTAGATGTAAAACAAAGATAGAATGACGCAATAGCGCTGATAGCGTGCTCCCCGAACGCAGCCAGCGCTATTGCGTCCTTCTATCTTTGTTTTACATCTAATGAGCAATAAAGACAGAATGATGCAACAGCGCTGATAGCGCACTCCCCGTGCTTATATAATAGACTGAACATTCATGTAAGAGGAGCTTCGTTAAAAGAAACAGAAATAGTCGTGGAGTAGTTCTCTTCTTTTCTAGCAGTGAGTTGATTAGTGGCCGCGGCAGGCCGAGGGAGTGGCCGAGAGCAACAAAGATAGAGTTCGAGAGTCAGTTGAAAGAGAGTGATAGTGAAAGGCTTAGACCATATATACTTATAGACGCGGCTTCAGACAACTATCTTAAAGCAAAGATAATGGCTGCGTTCGGGGAGCACGCTATCAGCGCTATTGCGGCTGCTTTCCTTTTAGGAGACACAAATCGACACAGATTAACACACTCGAGCACAGTTTGCCACAGTAAATGGAACGCGATATA